GGTGGATCTCTGACGGCTACCCAGGAGTTCCCTGAATCGGGTGAAAACTTCGCTCATGAATCTTGGATCTTGGTCATGGCGGATCATTTCTGAAGCGCCAAACATCCTGAACACCCGTTCTTCATATGCCTCGGCTACATCCTGGGCTGTCGTGGAGGAAATCGGTTTACACATCACGAATCCTGATAACATATCCTGAAATTAAAAGCAGGAAAGTGTTTCCCCGCTCCGACTTCGGTATGTGTGTCACGAAATCCATCGAGACCACTTCAAATGGTCGTCTTGGTTCGATGTTTCCCGGAGATGGACCAGGGTTAGATGGATGTCCTTTGCCACTCGCACAATTCACACATTCGTTTAGGTGCCGTTCCACGTCTGCATACATCCCGGGCCAATAGAACTCAGAGCTCAATTTTTCGTGAGTCCGTTTGATGTCCTGGTGCCCACCCTGAAAATCCTCGTGGGCATAATGTAAAATGTCCTCTCTCAGGGTGATGGGTACTACCAGTCGTAATTCGTCCGGGGCGTCTCGGGGTCTGCCTCGGGTGGACTGAGCTAATCGATACAGCACGCCACGGGCATCCAGGGCGAACAAGTCTGCGACCTTGGCGATCTTCCGCAACCGGTGTAAAGTGAACCGATCGACTTCTCCATTCAGGAAATCTCTCAAATCGCACAGATATTCATCCTGTTCCTGGTGCATCTTAATTCGTCGCCACCGTTCTCGCTGATAATCCAGGGGATCAAGAGGTTCTGATGATGCTTGTTGGTCTCGGACACTGGCCCGTGTCAAGGCAATCACGATTTTGGCTGCACTCGGCAGTGGGGCTGCCATGACATCCAGGGCGGAAGGACATCCATGATTGTCTGGACAACCTTCTTCATCATGGGTGATAACGAATCCTGAATGACCAGTCACCAGGTAACCCTCGGCTGACTTCATCAACTTTTCATGAATCTTGGATACTCACTCCAGGTGTTGACGTTCTCCATCTTCTTGGACACTCCAGGATCTTCCAAGCAACAGTGTCTTGGAAGTCAGGTAATCCGCTGATTGAAGTCCCGCTTGACGTGCACCAGTCTCACCGAGTCGAACTTTGCTGTCAATGCTTCACAGCTGGCCAATCGTCTTTGCAAGTTAGGCTGATTACAGTTAATCAGACCCTGTACTTGCTGGATGACGATTCGTGAGTCACCCACAGCGATCAAGTACCTGGCGCGCCTGGCTTGTGCCATGGTTAGACCATTCAGAAGTCCACAGTACTCGGCGTCATTCACAGTGACATCTTCCAGGATGAAACCCTGTGCATCCAGGATTTTCCATCCAGGGAGTTTCCACAAAATGCACCCACAGCTATCTTGCCGGGTAGACGTCTTGGCAGCGCCATCGAAACTTAGAATGATGCCCTGGAAAGTATCTTCCAACATCTCTATCTCCACGCTGATTATCGGTGGCGGTTTCGCACGCCCCTTGGCAGGAATGAGTTCCTCGGCGACTTCGTCTAAATGCTCTCGAAGTGTGATGCCAGCGCCCAGGATGGCAGCTAGTCCATCTTCGTCCCGCTGGATCTTCCTGACATCCAGATCCACTGCGAAAGTAAATCGCCCCAGGGTACACATCTGCCATCTGCTGTCTTGGATTTCATGATCCACTTCAAAACCGAGCGCCTAGTGTATACGATGAGAGGACAACCTTGAATGAGTGTCCTGAACACCTGTAGTACCCTCAGCACAGCGATGACCTCCTTTTCTGCGATGTGATACCTCAATTTCGCATCGTGGAGAACACGCCCCGTAAAACGCATTGGCTGGATCAAACCATCATGTTCTTGACCCAGGGCCGCACAAGCAGCCCATTGATTTGCATGGGGTATAATGACAAACGGTTTGGTCCTGTCAGGGTGTCTCAATACCGGGATCGATACGATCTTGTATTTCAGGATTTTGAACGCGTCAAACGCCTGCTTTGCCCTGGAGAGATCTCGCCCTGAGCGCACTTGGTCGTCCGAGAGTTCATACAGGGAAGCCTCAACCACGGGGTCGTCTTCAATGAATTTATGATAGTAATTCAAGCTGCCCAAGAAAAATTTCACTCCCTTCAGGGTAGTTGGGAACGGTAAATCCTGAACCCCCTTAGCGATCTTCGGTGTTGCCCTGATCCCTTCAGCGCTAATCTCATGTGACAAATACGGGATGGACAATTTTCCGAACTCGCTCTTCGGCAGACTTACTGAAATATTCCAATACCGCAGCCTATATAGCAAAGCATCCAAGTCAGCGCACAGTGCATCCCAGGTTGGTGCGGCATGCGCGATATCATCGATATAAGAGCTGCGCCCTAGGACAGGCGACATCTGGGTTGGAGCAGGGGTGTTCCTTTTGAACACTGTCATTTGGTCCGCCAGGGTCGGCAACGACCGAGAGACATGGTCGTCTTCGCAACCGGTGCACCCCGGAGTGCCACACCCTGGAGGTTCATCATCCTGGGGATCCAGATTCAGGTAATCCAAAACTTCTTGGTCTACCTCCCCTCCTCTTCTGGTGGCAGACGCACGAATCCCCACAAGCAATTGTTGATCACTTGCTGATAAATCAGGGGTGCGTTTTTCAGGCCAAACGGCATTCGGATCCACTGAAAATGTCCAAACGGACATACGAA